TGGGCATCCTTGTCTCGTTCTTGTTCTCAGTGGGATGGCACTCAGTTTTTGCCCATTGAGTATGATGTTGCCTGTGGGTTTGTCATATATGGCCTTTATTATAATTTCCTTCTATCCCCATTTTGTTAAGAGTTTTTTTATCATAAATGGCTGTTGGATCTTGTCAACTGCTTTATCTGCATCTATTGAGATGATCATGTGGTTTTTATTCCTCAGTTTGTTGATGTGGTGTATCATGTTGATTGATTTGTGGATGTTGAACCATCCCTGTGTCCCTGGTATGAATCCCACTTGATTGTGATGTATGATCCTTTTGATGTACTGCTGCATTCAGGTTGCCAAAATTTTGTTTAGAATTTTTGCATCTATGTTCATCAGCGATATTGGCCTATAATTCTCCTTTTTTGTGCTGTTCTTCTCAGGTTTTGGTATCAGAGTGATGTTGGCCTCATAAAATGTGTTAGGAAGTGTTCCATCTTTCCTAACTTTTTGGAATAGCTTGAAAAGGATAGGTATTAAATTCTCTCTGAAAGTTTGGTAGAATTCCCCAGGAGAGCCGTCTGGTCCTGGGGTTTTATCCTTTGGGATGGTTTTGATTGCTATTTCAGTCTCTTTCCTTGTGATTGGTCTATTCAGATTGTCTGTTTCTTCTTGGCTCAGCTTTGGGAGGTTGTTAAGAGTCCAAGAATTTATCCATTTCCTCTAGGTTATCCATCTTCTTGGCATACAATTTTTTGTAGTATTCTCTTATAGTCGGTTGTATTTCTGTGGTGTCTGTTGTTATTTCTCCTCTTTCATTTCTGATTTTCTCTTTTTTTCTTTGTAAGTCTGGCCAGGGGTTTGTCAATTTTATTTATCTTCTCGAAGAACCAGCTCTTTGTTCCATTGATTCTTTCTACTGCCTTTTTTGTTTCAATAGCATTTATTTCTGCTCTGATTTTTATTATTTCCCTCCTTTTGCTGACTTTGGGCTTCGTTTGTTCTTCTTTTTCTAATTCATTTAGGTGTAATTTGAGATTGCTTATTTGGGATTTTTCTTGGTTCTTAAGGTGTGCCTGTATTGCAATGAATTTCCCTCTTAATACAGCTTTTGCTGCATCCCATATGAGTTGGTATGGCATGTTATCATTTTCATTAGTTTCCAGGTATTTTTTGATTTCTTCTTTAATTTCTTCAATGATCCATTGCTTGTTCAGTAGTGTATTGTTTAGTCTCCACATCTTTGTGCCTTTCTCAGCTTTTTTCTTGTAATTAATTTCTAGCTTTATAGCATTATGATCGGAGAAGACGCTTGTTATTATTTCAATTTTTTAAATTTGTAGAGGGTTGCCTTGTTTCCCAACATATGGTCTATCCTTGAGAATATTCTGTGTGCACTTGAGAAGAATGTGTATTCTGCTATTTTTGGATGGATTGTTCTATATTTATCTACTAAATCAAACTGTTTTAGCTTTTCATTTAATTTCACTATTTCCTTGTTGATTTTCTGTCTGGATGATCTGTCCAATGATGTGAGTGGGGTGTTGAGGTCCCCTACTATTATTGTGTTATTTTTAATATCTTCTTCTGGGTTTGTTGATAGTTGCTTTATGAACTTTGGTGCTCCTGCATTGGGTGCATAGATATTTATAAGCATTATTTCTTCTTGATGGAGTGTCCCTTTGATCATTATATATACTGCCCCTCTTTGTCTCTCTTTACCTGCTTTATCTTGAAGTCTACTTTGTCTGATATAAGTATTGTGACACCTACTTTCTTTTGTTTGCCATTAGCTTGGAGTATCACCTTCCACACCTTCACTCTGAGCTGTATTTGTCATTGGAGCTCAGACGTGTTTCCTGGAGGCAACAAATTGTTGCATCTTGTTCTTTAATCCATCTTGTCACTCTGTGTCTTTTTATGGAGAGTTCAATCCGTTTACATTGAGGGTGATTATTGATGTATGAGGGCTTAATGCTGTCATTATATCACTCGTTTTCCAGTTTTCCTGCATTTCTTTTGTTTCTCGTCCTGTGTATTTTGGTCTACCCATTGAATTATGCAGTTTTTTATGCTGTGTTTGTTTTTTCCTTCTTTATTTTTTGTGTCTCTGGTCTGCTTTTTAGTTTAGTGGCTACCCTGAAGTTTGTATTCAGAATCTCGTGCATAACATAGTCCATTTTCTGATGGCCTCTTATCTCCTTAGTCTAAACTGATTCAGTCCCTTTCCTCCTCCTCTTCTAAGTTATTATTCTCACATCTTATTCCAACTTGTGTTGTGAGTTTATGGTTAAAGTGACAGGATTCTCTTTGTTTTTGTTTTCCTTCCCTTTAGCCTAATGCTATAGTCGAATATTTGCTATCCTGTTCTGATTCTGCCTATCTATTTGTCTCCTTCTCTGTGTTTTGTGACCCCTTTCTCCCTTTTTTGTTTTTGCAGGTATGAGGGCCTTCTTGAGGATTTCTTCTTGGGGGGGGGGGGCAGTCTCGTGGCTATGAAGTCCTGTAGCTTTTGTCTGTCTGGGAAAGATCTAATTTCTCCCTCATATCTGAAGGATATTTTTGCTGGATAGAGTATTCTTGCCTGAAGATTTTTATCTTTTAAAGTTTTGAATATGTCGTTCCATTCTCTCCTAGCTTGTAAGGTTTTTTTGTTTTGTTTTGTTTTTGTTTTGTTTTTTATTTATGGTCCATGGTGTAGCACAGCTGTGGATTCTGTCAGGACATACCAAATATTAGAAATAACAGGTGGGGCCTCTGTGGATGTACCTCATGTATTATTCTCTATTTTATGAGAAATGGTGTGGGGTTCTTGGATAGTATGCTTAATGTATTGTATGGTGGATTGACTTAACAAGTGCAAGAAAAATTTACCCACAAACTCTTGAGCTGAAAGTTTCTATGTTCTTAGCATAACTACACCCACAGTTTTATTAGTGCTCACTCTCTTGTTCTCATTTTTTTTAATTAATGTTATGATAGATTACAACCTTGTGAGATTTCAGTTGTACATTATCGTTAGTCATGTTGTGGGTACACCACTTCCCCCTTTGTGCCCTCCCCCCACCCCCCTAGCTTGTAAGGTTTTTGCAGAGAAATCTGCTGAAAGCCTAATTCCTTTGCAGGTTACTTTCTACTGCCTTGCTGCCCTGAGGATACTGTCATTCATTTTTTCCAGTTTTACTACTATATGCCTTGCAGTTGGTCTTTTTCCATTGACAAATCTAGGAGATCTGAAAGCTTCCTCCACACACATTTCCCTCTCATTCCCTAGATTTGGGAAGTTCTCTGCTATTATTTGTTTGAGCACGCTTTCTGCTCCATTCTCCTTCTCTTCACCTTCTTTAATACCTATAATTCTTATGTTGTATTTCCTCATTGACTGGGATATTTCTCCGAGGCTTTCTTCATTTCTTTTTAGTCTTAGCTCTCTCTCCTCCTGTCTGGAGCATTTCAACATGTCTGTCTTCGATTATGCTGATTCACTCCTCTATGATGTCCACTCGAGCATTCAGGGAATCCGTATTTTGTTTTGTCTGTTCCATTGTATCTTTCATCTCTAACATTTCTGATTGATTCTTCTTTATAGTTTCAGTCTGTTTTGTGAAGTAGCTCCTGAACTCATTAAATTGTTTCTCTACATTCTCTTTTACCTCATTGAGTTTTTTGATGATAGCTATTTTGAATTCATTGTCTTAGCTTACATATTTCTGTGTCCTCAGGACTGAATTCTGGGTACTTGTCATTTTCTCTCTGGTCTGGAGATTTGATGTAGCCTCTGATGTTGGAAGGTGGGCTCTTCCTCATTGATATTATTCGGTTGCAGTTACAGCCTATTGCCACTGGGTGGGGGTCGAGAGCCGCATTTTCTGAGCCCTCACCTTCAGCTGAGATGGTGTGGCACCCGTCCAGGGTGGGACGCTGTCTCCTGCGTGCAGTCCCAGGTTTCCTGATCAGCTCTTGCTTTCTGCTCTCCTGGGATTTTGGCTTGATGAGGTCACCCCACAGGAAAGCTTGTGCCCTGTTAGAGGGCTTCCCTCTAGGCTGCAAGACTCTAGGGTGTCCTTGGTGATCCAGCAGATAAGCGACCCCTTGCCTGCTCCTTCCCTCTTGGAGCCTCCCACGGCAGCTACCGCAGTCTTTAGAGGAGGGAGTGAAGCTCTGTCTCACCCTGTTCCAGCTCCTCCAAGGGGTGCTCCAGCCTCTCCGCCCTCCCTCAGGTGGCTGCTGTGACTCTCCGAGGATTTTTGTGCTTTTAGGGTATTTTCTGTTGGAATATGGCTGCTGTTTTTTTGTTGTATATTAGAGGGGAGAGAGTCCCGGGCAAGTTCACTCCGCCATGACACTGACGTCACGCCTCCACGTCAGTGTTTTGACCTCAAATGTGAAAATGCACATCCCTCCACGGCTCTCTCTATACTGCCTCTACTAAGTCATCCAAGATGCTCAACTCTTCATGACCGAGGCAAAATACGCTGTATGTAACTTCACTAAGAATACATAAGGCCTATTCACTAATATAAAAGCTGAGATTTAAACTACTATAGAAATGAAATCTGAAAAGCGATCGTGCTATGCAAAGGAGCGAGAAGGCATTACCTTTACTAACTAGCTGCTTGTCATTCTCTTGACACTCTAGCAAGTTGCATGAGAATACACAGAACCTACACTCCAAGATAAAACGGAAATTCAATTGGAAAACAACTTGATTTTTTTTAAGTTGAATAAATGGTTTTTAAATCAGTATTTGGGACAAGTTGATTCAGAATTAATTAGCACTACTTTTGAAACAGGATTAAAGAATAAAAGAAAAATGCCTCTCAATGGCCAAACAAAATATCTAAGATGAATCCTTCCACATTTTAGCAGCATCTGGAAAATAATTATAATTTATTCCAATTTAAGAAACAAACAACCACACTGAGGAAAAAATTTAATACTCTTTCTGAAACACTAAAAAAACCCAAAATGTGTGTAATTCAAAGGATCAATATGCTACACTGGCACTATGGCCCATAACGTATTTGGAAAAATACAAGATTCAATTTATTATTTCATCACTATAATTTTAATCAGTAGGCATATTAATATCACATACTTTTTTAATATAAATATTTTTAAAAGCTGTGCTTTACAATATGATATCAAGAACACAGAGCTGATATAAGTTATATAGGTAATCATTTTGACTGTGTAAGAAATTTGATCAGAATACTGTTATGGCAAAAGGAAAGCCCCCTCTTTTTAATCATTCGTATTCAGCAACAGTGAAAGTGCTCTGCGTGCACACTGGCTCTGAATACACACCTCACTTCTGTTTCACACCTGCGATGCTATCCATCACTGTTTTGATGATTACACAGTTCAGCATAAAAATGCATCCCACTCAGATTCTCAGGAAGTCTGATTAGGCAGATAACCTCCCAAGCACAAAAGCTTTTATTTTAAGACAGGTATTATGCAAATACAACACGGAAATCAGACTCACTGTAATTGGGATAAAAAGACAACTGTAAGAACTCTGTACATTTAACACCTATCACATTTTTGTGCACTCATCTTGCATTCCCTGTCTTTCTTCCTCGTCTCTGAAGTGCTAGATTAAAATGTATTTACACTACAGTAACTAATGGGCTTAATATGAGCAAACTACATGTTTGAGAAAGCAAGACTTTCTAGGAAGAAACCTCTAAATATTTTCCATATTATATGTTTTTATAACCTTTCTTATAAAGATGGAGTTTTGTATATGCAACACCTGCAGACAGAAATCTACATTTCGCTCAAGTCCAATCGAATATATCAAATATAAAATACAGACATGAAGCAACCTATGACAGCAGCAGTGATTCTTGGGGCAGCATATGCAAACTCCACTATTTTGCTATCTATTTATATCATAGTGGTCAGAAAAGAAATGTGCCAAAACTCCCTTTCCCGTTCCACTTGAACTGGTTCCCCACAATGGAAACAAACATCTCCTGTGACATCAAGTTGTCATCAGCTTGCGTGATCCCCAGCTCACTCAACCTTTTCTTCTTCATCTGGCCCTTCTGTGTGGAGGCTGCAACTAGCTCATTTACAATTTCACAATTGTCTTCAACTTGCTCAGAAAGGTCAGATCTTGCATAAAGCTCCATTTTACCAGTTGCACATTGAATCAGCTCGTCTAGTTCCACTCTTTCAGCTGCACTGGCCTCTTCACTGGTCTGAATTTTAAGTGCATTATTTTCTAGAGAAACAAATTATAACAAATAAAGTTAAATATACAAACCAATCCAACTAAAACATATATATTTCTACAGTCTGTGAAAGCTTTCAGGCTTTTTCTGCTGAGGGTGCCTGCTGTCACCTGACTGGATTTTACACTCTTTGCCATAATTATCTCAAAGAGCAGTTGTCTTACTCTTCACACCAAGGTTTCCTGACCCTCATATAGGATTACCAATTTTGAATTCTTTTCTCTTGTTATTCTGGAATCTCATTCACTCAAAAGCCTTTTCCTGGATATTTACTACCCACTAAGACTTCTAGATGGCCCCTATGACGCCCGCCCCCGGTGGTACTTTCACGATTGTTAAATGGCAAAAGGGCTTTGCAGATGTAATTAAGGTTACTAATCAGTTGATCTTTAGAAAAGGAGACAATTCAGGAATACCTAACCTTAATAGGAGCCCTTTAAAAGCAGTTTTTTCTGGCTGGATGAAGAAGAAGAAAGCACGAAGAGATGTGAAGCATGAAGAGATTTGCCTTGAGGGAGGTTCTCTGTTGCTGAGATGAAGGAGGTCAAGGGGCAAGGACCTCAGAGCAGCCTCTGGAAGCTGAGAGCAACCCCTAGCCAACAGCTAGCAAACAATGGTGCCTGAGTCCTACAGCCTTGCAGGAGTGAATTCTGCCAACATGGACAAGTTCAGAAGCAGATTCTCTCCCCAGAGCTTTCAGACAAGAGCCCTGCCCAGCTGACACCTCAACCTCACCCTTGAGAGACCCTAAGCAGACAACCCAGCCAAGCCCACCTGGACTTCTGACCTACAGAACTGCGAGGGAAATAGAAACCCCAGATAACTGGAGTGGCTCCTGAAGGACAACAAGGGCTACTCGTCATCCGGTACACCGTCCTCACCCATGCCTAGGCCTAATCCTCCTCTGACCGATTCCAGAGTGATCTGGGTCATGGCTTCAAATTCATGAATCTCCCACTGAGTTAGCTCAGCTTTGCTGTCAAGAAAGACAGTTGACAAGGAGGCATTTACTTCTACCAATAAAAAGTAGAGGCCAACTCCATGATCCCCTCCAGTAATGCAGGCTTCAACCCGCACATTCACTTCTCTGCCTCCATCCTTAACAAATACCAGCAGAGGCCACCATTGCCATCAGATGCCCATCCTTATTCTACAAATTTATAGAAAGCCAAGCATGATGAGAAGGGACTTGCAGGACCACAGAAACCACACATCAAGGTTTGAATGAATAGTTGAACTAGTTGACCTGGAAAAAGTTTTTTTTTTGGAGGAGGAGGATTAGCCCTGAGCTAACATCTGCCAATCCTCCTCTCTTTGTTGAGGAAGACTGGCCCTGAGCTAACATCCATGCCCATCTTCCTCTACTTTATCTGTGGGATGCCTACCACAGCATGGCTTGTCAAGCAGTGCCATGTCTGCACCCGGGATCTGAACTGGCGAACCCCAGGCTACTGAAGTGGAACGTGTGCACTTAACCACTGTGCCATCAGGCTGGCCCTGATCTTAGAAATTTCTTTTCCCCTGAGATTCTATAATGTTCCAGCTTTACCATGCCTCTCTATCTCCACACCCAAATGTATGCCAGGTTTCCTTTTTAAGGAAGAAAGGAAGACTCAGATTTTTTTTTTTTTTCCACTGTGAAATACAGCCTTTATTTTAGGTGACCATTAACCCAACTAAAAATAGAAAGATAGCTTACTAATACAAGGCGACAACTAGCAGTATTTTCCATAGGAGGATCCACGCTGCTAGTGCTCAGCAAGCAAAGTCAAGTTTCCCATCCTCTCTGGTTCTCTAGCATCCCGCAATCACAAACGAATTCAGACTGATTCAACTAAAATCTTGGAGATGGCGGGGCCCAAGATCAACATTTTTAAAAGCTCCTCGGATGACTCTAATGAGCAGCCAGTGTTGAGAACCTCTGCTTTTAGCAAACACATATGTTTTGGAATAAGAATATGGTCATCCTTCCCTCCTTCTAAACTTTATATGCTGTTGAGCTTAGTTATCTGGATCTCTGAGAAGAGGTGGGACCTAGCAGAACATTAGGAATCACAGATACCTGTTTCCTCCTGTAGATTCACTGTGATACTGTGAATCTTGAGTGCAAACTACAGATGCATGCTTTTTGGAGTATTGAGATAAAGTCTGTAGAGTGGCATATTGCCATTCTGCTACATTTCTCTGTCAACTGCTATGTGTCACCAAAACCCCTATCCACATAGCAAAGAGAAATAATCCTACTGCTCTCCTTCTGTCCACAAATTTTTCTACAGTTTAGGATCCCTTTTTAGCCTGAGGCTTTTTTTTTCCCCCAGAGTAGAGAATGTTTCTAATCATGCTTTTTTTTTTTTTTTTAATTAATGTTATGATAGATTACAACCTTGTGAGAATTCAGTTGTACATTATTGTTAGTCATGTTGTGGGTACACCTCTTCCCCCTTTGTGTCCTCCCCCCACCCCCCCTTTTCCCTGGTAACCACCGATCAGATCTCCTTGTCAATATGTTAACTTCCACCTATGAGTGGAGTCATATAGAGTTCGTCTTTTTCTGACTGGCTTATTTCGCTTAATATAATACCCTCGAGGTCCATCCACGTTGCTGCGAATGGGCCAATTTTGTCTTTTTTTATGGCTGGAAGACTCATATTTTTAATCAGAGTTTAATGCTGAAATAAACTAAATTAAATCTGGTTTTTATTTTTAAAAATTACCAATTATAGCATACCTTCAGTTTCATCTTGGACATTTTCTTGCAGGTCAGAGAAAATTGTAGGTTTCACCAAGACAACACCATAACCTTCATTATTGTGTATGACATTATTCACCATGGATATTTTGGGAATGTCATAATGCTCATCTAAGAAGTCCTGTGACATTGAAAACAAACATTTTAAGGAACATTCAACACTGCCTACTTTAAAAATCCTCTCACTTTTTTCAGGATATTCTAAAAATAAAGTACAAAGTTATGCTTATTGATACGTGGTAGCATAGTCTGAGCTTTAAGGGACACAGCATTCCTCTGTCATTTTTGCAGATCTATAGATAGTAAAGTATTCTCACAAGAGAGTTCCAATCATGAACTATTGAAACTATTGAAACAACAGAACCCAACGTGGGAATTTAATAAAGTCTAACTCTCTCTTAGGTGAAACCATTCTAACCTTTGGAAAGAGGGCGTTTCAGCAGGTGCTCACCTTTATAAGGATCCCTTCCTTGCAGTGATGGATCCCATTGTCACTCAGGGTGCACTTACTCCCAGGATATATTTCTATACCAGCACCCTACAAGTTACATTTTAAGATATTGACAATCAGTTTTTAAAAGGCAGGACTATACAAGAAGGTTTATTACAACCACTTCTTAGCCTTTAACACAGTGCAAATATAAAGTGTTATACAGAGAGTTTTATTAGGTATTTCTAATCAACATTTCCATTTGCTCCATTTCCAGAAAGATGCCTGTCATTTATCACTTTCACAAACACCACACACACAATACACTGGCTAGGAGTATCAACGTGTGATTACTGCTCCACTCTCTTTCATTCTGGACAATCAGTCTTCTGATCCTGACCCCCCCCAGAAAAAAATTTCATTGAAAGATGCACTTAGTCAAAATGACTAACTTCTCAGAGATATTCAGTTAGAGAGCAATATTTGAGTATAGTAAAATATTGTAATTTGAGGATACAAATAAGACCCTATTTTTTTTTTAAAAACACCACTTTTAAAATATCCCAACCTAACTTAAAAATCACATCTATGAATTAAACAATTAATGGCCTCTACTACTACACAAATGTTAAAATTAGCAACCAACTCAAGCGTCTCATTTACACAGAGTCACCAGAAAGATCTATGCATGGCCCAATTCTCTCACACTGTCTGTCAGCACCACATGGTACCAACAAGAAAGTAACTGTAACAGGAATAATTTATTTCCTCATGCCATGCTAGGTACTTTGGGAAGTAAAAATAATTCACTCAAACCTCTATAGTTATTTAAGAAATCATTTTTGGAATAATTTCATACACAACATCATACTTGAAGAAGAGTTGTTTCTAAATATTTATGACACACCTACTGCATGTATGTTGTTTTTCTAAGAGTAGTAGTGTATCATGAGAAAACGTTTATTATTACTTCCCCTTTGGGGATTACTAGAACATACAGGGCTGAGTGGCCCACTACACACCAACCCAACTCTCTACAGAGAGGTAAAAAGATCTGCAGGTTGGGCCTTCAGCTAAGAGATTTCATTTTGGGGTTATGTACAAAAAAGGTTTAGGGACAATAACATTAAAAATACATATACAACAAAATAGTTAAAATTAAATATCAAATTATCAGGAATCACGTAAAACTTAAAAAAGGAGAAGAACTTAAGCCAGCAGCTACCTAGCAAACCAAAACCAAGAGGTCAGAAATGTCATAATTAGTTGACAATGATTTGAAAGCAGCCATGGAAAAAATGCTTTAATGAGCAATTATGAACATACTTAAAACAAATGAAAAATGAATGCCTCAGCAAAGAAATAGAAGACATAAAGAACCAAATGGAAATTTCAGAACTGAGAAAGACAATAACTAAAATAAAAAGCTCCGTAGATGGGCTCAATAGCAGAAAGGAAAGAACCAGTGAACCAGAAGATAGAATAGAAATTGCCCAGTCTGAACAACAGAGAGAAATGCCCTGAAAATAGCAGTAAGCAGGGCCTCAGGGACCTGTGTGACTACAATACAAGATCCAAAATGCGTGTCGTCAGGGTCCCAGAAGGATCTAAATCTGTCTTAAAGTTATAGAGAAATTGTGAGATGTATTATTTTTCTTCCTAATCTCTGTTTTGAAAATGCTAAATAAGAACTTTATAGGGGCCAGCCGGGTGGCGCTGTGGTTAAGTTCACACGTTCCACTTTGGCGGCCCAGGGTTCACCAGTTCGGATCCCTGGTGCGGACATGGCACCATTTGATAAGCCACGCTGTGACAGGCGTCCCACATATAAAGTAGAGGAAGATGGGCACAGATTTTAGCTCAGGGCCAGGCTTCCTCAGAATAAAGGGGAGGATTGGTGGCAGATGTTAGCTCAGGGCTAATCTTCCTCAAAAAAAAAAGAACTTTATAGAATCAAGTCTGGTTGACTTAGAACATATAAGTGTCTGAACTTCTTGGAAGAAAGAGAACAAGAGTATGTCTTTATATCTTGGTCCCACATTTTATTTGCTTACTTAGAACTTAACCCTAAACTACTTCCCCAAAGGATAAGAGATTATCATACCTTCGCACCATATAAATCTGAATTCTTCATTAAAAGTTCTGCTGATGTCCGCACTGTGACCCCCGTAGTTTCACACTGCAGTACACAGTTTTCCAACGTCGTCTTGCCATGGTGAATGACTACGGTGAAAACATGCAATCAAATGCTTTAAGAAGTAATCCATCTTTTCCAATATTAGACATGGCCTAGAGTTAACATTAGATATAGTCTAAATATTTCTCAATAGCTACCATTTAAAATTTGTTACTGGGATTACAAATTCATAACTTACAAAATAATGACTATTTTGAGTTATTTTCTAAACTCTAAAAGCAGCCTTCTTAAAAAAGAAGGACTTGAACTCAGAAATGCAAAATCAAGTTAAAAAGCACTTTTCATTACAAAAAAGTATCACAAAGCAACTTTCATGAGTATCTTGAAAGGGAGAGGAAAAGGAGGCCCAATTCAAGAAAGGATCCTAGGAAGAAATACCAGCACAGCGTGAGGACGGCGGGTTTGAGTGCAGGGCGAAATCGAATACGAAGAACACAGACAATACCGGAATGTCTTAAAAGAAAAAAAGTGATCACACAGAAACCAAATTTCAAGAATAGGCTGAACTATTTTTCACGTTAGAATAAGCCTCCTAAGTCATCACGCTATGTACATAATTAATCAACCTTTCATATACTCAAGAATGGTGTTTTATTAAATTGTATTTTCCAGAGAAAGTAAGGTTTTCTTTCAAAGACTAAAACACATAATACACGAAATATTCAGACACTTACTTAAGATTCCTTCCACAGCATCATGCTGAACAAATTTTATGCTTGAGATTTTAATATCTGTGCCCGTACAATCCACAAAAGTGTCTCCTTTGCCCCTCTTTTCTATCACAATATCATCTGGTAGACCATATCCTAAGGCAGAGAGCAAGATTTAAGAGGAGTGAGAGGAAACGTCCAATCACAAAACTGCTACAATAGCAAATGATCTCAAATGATCCAAATGATATTTGAGACCAGTCAACCTAGTGGCATTTAAATAAAACCTAACTATCTCCCCACATACCTTGTTTAATTTAAACCACGTGTACAATTTTTAATAACAACTCAGTTTGCCCATGTATCAGGAAAACTACCCTATCAACCATCTTAGACCAGCTCAGCACTAAATTCACTTACAAAAAACTACTTTAAAAAAATAAATAATCCTAAGTACTCACAACTGGTCAAAGGGCTTTGAAGCATTTAGCCCTTATAAGCCTTTTTTCCAACTGTAAGATTCTATTTTTCTAATATAAATTAGGTTTGAAAAAGCCTAAGCATTTCTCAAGATTTTCTAATTTTAATATTCTCTTAAACAGATTGACTTAAAATAGTTTTAGCTTTTGGAAAAATTGGTCTACCTTGTTAACCAATAAACTACACTGGATCTCTAGAAATCTTAATCAAACTAATAACGCAGGCCAGACCTCTGAATGAGCTTACAAAAAACTGGAATATCAGAAAACTAGAAAATTTGCCTGACTTTCATCATAAAACAGAACCACATAGAGCTGTAAGAAATAACTCTCATTGTCTAAAATGAGTCTTTGCTTGAGGAAATGAAGCTACAGTAGCTACATTAAACAGGCAAAGTCACTGAGGTTCCCCATCCGTGAAGAGGGCAGACCACTCTTGGAGGCACTAGAGAACGCAAGGACCCCAGACCCCGTGATGCCACCAGTGATGGACTCCGGATGACTGGATTATGAGTAATTTTTTTTCTGATTCTTTTTATGCGTCTGTCTGTACTTTCTACATTTTCTACAACAACCGTTGTTTTTTCATCATCCAAAGAATAAAAAATACAAAAAGAATTGCCACATTAAGAAAAAAACAGATTATTACATAAACAAGTTATGTATTCTTAGTAGTTTAAAACAAAACCATCACCTAAGTGAATGGATGTCCTAAATAAGAAAGAAAAACCCTACTATAAGTACTGTTAATACCCTACACATAGTAGGAGCTCAACATATATCTCTTATTCTAAGTGTTACCTACAGGTCAGATAAGCTAGCAGACAAGCCTGGTCTTACTCATGAACAAGTACTCCCTACATCACACTAGAGATACCAGCTGATTCCCCAGATTCTCAGAAATGCCCTCTACCAGTAATTTTACAGTCATTTTTACACTTAACTATCAGAATTCTATATCGTTAGGTATGACATTTTGGCAATTACATTATAATTTCCTCACCAATCTAGGAAGAACTCTCACCCACCATATAATCTATAATATTAATGCTATTTTCACTATGCCAAAAAGTAAAGTGTTTTTATTGCAGTGATTTATCCTACAAATGTGTTATTTATACACATACATCTATTATATATCAAATATTGGAGAAGAGAAAGAACAAAAATTACACACACAAAACAAAACAGGGGTGAGGTGATGTACGAGTGAACAGCAGGCAATGAAACCCTGAATGGAACAGCCTTGCTTCCATGAAGAAGTGCTGACGATAAAGATAAAGAACACAGCTTAACCAGTTTGTGAACAGCTGCGCAAGTCCCCAAATGATACATGACTTTTTGCTTTATTGCTAACTTGAAGTTCTTTTGGTAAATAGTTGAGCAGGTGCATCTAAATTTGACACGTTATGGAAATATACAGGACCGAGATGAAGGACTGCAAAGTGACCTAAATTTAGGAATCACTCTAAATGTACAATAAGATTATAACTGCTAAAAAGTTACCTTTTTTTTTTGTAAAGACTTTATTTTTCCTTTCTCCAAAGCCCCCCAGTACACAGTTGTGTATTTTTAGTTGTGGGTCCTTCTAGTTGTGGCATGTGGGATGCCGCCTCAGCATGGCTTGATGAGCAGTGCCATGTCCGCGCCCAGGACTCAAACTGGGGACACCCTGGGCCACCAAAGCACAGCACGCAAACTGCACGAACTTAACCACACAGCTATGGGGTCAGCCCCTAAAAAGTTACTTTTAATAGAATCTTTCAACATGAAATGCAACGTGTAGAATTTGTGACACTCAGCAGTCTTAAAGAATTAAAAGATTTTTGATCCATTTTCAAGTTGGACCTATACCTCTCACAAAAATATGCTAAATTTAAAACCAAAAAAATGCACCAATATAGCCACAACATACACAAAATAAGAATAAGCAACAAATAAAAAAATACTAAACTTTAAAAATATATTGCTGAAAATATTCTATGAAAACAGAAATGAGATTTTCTTTCCATAAACCACTTCGAATCTGGAAAGGATGGTTCTTCCTAATGGTCCTCTTTCTCTGTGTTTGCCTTCCCAACACATATAAGGCTGCAAAGAACCACACGTCAAGTTGCTCAAACACTGAGTCAATCCCCTGGACACTTGAAACACCCCTAATGCTTCCAGGCAACACATCCTCAGTCAAGTGAGCTGCAATCCTATTCCTGGAGCTTCAACAAGGTCAGTGACGGACCGTTTTCTTCAGCAGATCATGCATGAGAGTTTGGTTGTATGATCTTCATACTCACCTTCCAACTCAATGGAGTCAGCAATGGAGAATGTGCCATGTACCACGTAATGGCCAGGACAAACAATAACAGTGTCACCTTCATAGCAGGCATTTATAGCAGACAATGGATCACCATGGAACTGGAAAACAACAACATATTGCAAATGTGCACCCCCAAAAGCAACCTGAGTATTCCTGCACGCGCCTCTTGTTTCCTTTGAAAAGGAAGCCAAAACTGCCTAATAACTATCTCCTTTGCTACTGCACTGAGCCCAACGCAGGCTGGTAAGTGACTGGTGCTGATGGAAGGCAGCACTCACACTACTTCCCACTGCCCAGAAACCAGCTCTGGCAAGCTCCTGTCAACATACTCTGCACAATTCAGGAAAACCCGGGGTGGATGCGAAGGGAAAAAAACCACCTGCAGCAAGAAATTTTACCTGAATCTCTATTTCTTCCTTACTGGGCTCCTGACAAAGCCTGTCCCTGAGCAGGGACCACAGCAGGCCAGTCATCATGGTGGAGGCGACCACGTGGGTGACCTTCTGACCGTTTGGACGGACGCCCTTTGCTTGGATATTAGAATTCTTCTGATAACCAAACACATATCTTAAAGAAACCAAACAGACCTATCAGTTCTCAGTAAGAGAGCTGGTTAGAAAAGATGCCAACCGGCTAAGAAGGACAAATACGTACCTCAACAAAGGATTCTCAATGAGTTTTAGCTTTTGTTTCAACTGTTCGATCTCTGAATACAATTTTAACCCTTCCACCATGGAGATGTTTTCCTGCTCGGAATCAGAGCTACAGTTTGACAAACTGCTTCTCAGATTTAAAAATTTCCTGTAACTCTCTTCACATTGAGACAAGAGATTGCGGTAGTCAACAATAAGTCCCGAAGGAACTCGGTTTTCAAGGATGTCATAATGCCTGCAAGTTTAAAAGTAAATTGAAATCTACTGCCTTTCAGACACATTTTCTTATCACTAAGACAGTCCATTTACTCCTCAAAGACTCAGTAAGAAAACTGTTTTATAGTGTATAACTCAGGTATGTTAAGTCTTTCTGAACAGCACTCTGAGTGGAAGCTGTTGAAAGTTCTAAGCACCGCTTCACTAAGGTCACTAATTGTTCTTCTTTTGAGAAGTTGCTATTTTTTTCCTTAGGTCTAAGCATTTGTGCTTTAGAAACACTGAAAGTTCATGTTGCACAATTTGTATTATTCGTATTTATATCATTATTTAATAAATTATTTTCTCATATAGTAGATTCAAAATCATAAGTGGATGGCAGAAGGCAATCTAGGGTGGAGGTGGAGAAGGAAGTATCCCAAATAGTTTCCTAACAATGTTTAAGATTATCATATTTATAAGATCAAAAATTAAAAATGATTCAAATCATCTAGGCCTTCCTCACAGTTAAGGCGCTATGGCACAAAATTATGCTGAATATTCCCTCAGGAAGATTTTGGAGTATTTCAAAAGCATAAGCCTTTGAGATTCTGGGAGAAAAAAATAAAACTTTCATTACTAGAGAGTGATTAAAACAAAATAACTTAGTACTGGACAACTCTATTGGCACTTAAAATTTATTATTAATTTATATAACTCATCAAATGCATAGGCAGAAAAGAAAGTACTTCTAGATGCCATAAAATAATTTATGAATGTACAATCAAGTTAATGGATGTGAAATTAATGGATTTGAAAATAAACTGCAATATTATTGTCATTATCTGTAGTTGTAAAATAATTCCTTTATTTTTCATTAAAAGTATATTGATCAGCTACGCCAGAGGCCAGAGCTTCTCAACCTTGGCTGCATATTAGACTCACTGGGGAGCTTTTAAACATACAGATGCTCAGGTCCCCATCCAGACAGATTAAATTGGTCTCTAGAAGTAGAAAGGTATTTTTTAAAGTTCCTTGGGGATTCTATTTATTTATTTATTTTTAAAGATTGGCACCTGAGCTAACAACTGTTGTCAATCTTCTTTTTTCTTCTTCTTCTTCTTTTTCTCCCCAAACCCCCCCAGGACATAGTTGTATATTCTAGTTGTGAGTGCCTCTGGTTGTGCTATGTGGGACGCCACCTCAGCATGGCCTGATGAGCAGTGTCATGTCCATGCCCAGGATCCGAAGTGGTGAAACCCTGGGCCGCTGAAGCAGGGGGCACAAACTTAACCACCCGGCCACAGGGCCAGTCCCCGGACCCTTGGGGATTCTAATGTGCAGCCAAGGTTGAGAACTACTGCCTTAGATGATGTTTTTTTTCACTCAGTCATGCTCTAAATAAGATAGGGGAAAAAAACAGAACCACATCCTAAACATACTTACATCAAATTATGGTGAACAGTCAAACAGTATTTAAAATGAATAAATAATAAATTTATGTTTGCTTTTCAAGTAAATGAATTAGGTAAAGCTTATAAAGCAAGGATTTCATCTACTTTGGTTAATCCACATTCACTTAGAGATATTCTAGAAATCCACTTCACAAGCAAGGGGATCAAACCACTGACTGCTTGACCAGGTCTATTAAGTTAGAGAGATGAAGACTCATATTTTAAAATAAGTTTCTTAGCATCTCAATATCTGTGCCAGTCAGCTTCTTTCTTCTCATTATAGTGATACTTCGTAGTGTGGAAGCAGTGAACCAACATCTGTGTCTCAGATCCATGAGCTTTGAAGCAGAGTGTTTCAAATTACAAAGGAAAAATATTTACCACACCATGCAAAATCCAGACAATATGGTCCAATTCCCTTTATTTTATTTTATTTTTTTTATAAATTCTTTTTTTTTTTTTTAAGATTTTATTCTAATTTTTGTTTTCCTTTTTCTCCCCTAAGCCCCCCGGTACATAGTTGTATCTTCTTTGTTGTGGGTCCTTCTAGTTGTGGCATGTGGAACGCTGCCTCAGCATGGTTGATGAGCAGTGCCATGTCCGCGCCCAGGATTGGAACCAACGAAACACTGCGCCGCCTGCAGTGGAGCGTGCGAACTTAACCACTCGGCCACGGGGCCAGCCCCGGTCCGATTCCCTTTAAATCTTGCCTGTTGACAGCTCTACTCCTGTCTTAGCCCAGGGACCTTTATAAAGAATCTGCCTACGTTTGATAACATTCTAGTTTCTCTATCACGTGTCAAAGTTTCTTCTCAATAACTAAAAACAATTCCTCCCTTATGCTTTCCCATCTGCCAGTGATGTACAAGGTATGTGCATAAATCATTTCTTGCTGCTCAAACATGTAAGGCTGTCAAATCAGAATAGAGTTTTTTCCAAGTAAAGGTCAAATTTGCCGATACTTGATATTCACCCACCATCACATCTCACTTCAATCAAAACCAATCACTGCTCTTTAAGAGCAAGTGTATCAAAATTAGAAAATATGAAATTTGTTGAAATTATGGCATTTTATTGAATACACTCTGGGAAAATAGGAAATGCACAATGGAAAAATTGGAAAAGCTAAATAGAAATCACAACCAATTTATGAAGAGCTGAAATCAGACACACACAGTTCTAAACCAGGTAGAACCATTAAGCAGACTTCTCACATATTTTTCACTTTACTATTTAAACCAAGAGAAACTTACTAAGTCAAACTGGATTCCAAAATGTAGAGGGTTGCTGTCTTATCTCATGTAACCAAACCATCTTTCATACAGGGAAAAAAATTACCTTCTACAATTTTTTTTAGAGTGCAACTTCTAAGTGTATTTTTATTGCTGCACTGTCTGTTAAAAGACTACTCATGAATATAAGAAAAATTACCCGGGCTTCGAGCACCATCTAGTGGAGGCTGAATGCCACATTGAACAAAGTCAGTGCAGAACAACTATTTGGGTTGCATGGTTGATGTTTGGTATTTTTGTATGCAAGGGTTTTTTCCTACCAAGATACAATAAATTAGAAGAAGAATGTGTTTAGGTATTTTGAAAATTTTTATTCACCACTAATATTAACTATTTAGTATGTTCTCTATTTGTCAAATAAGATGTAAGGACAAGAACTTGACAAGACATCCTGAGATAAACCTGTTCACTTAGCCTAGTGTGTTTCACTGTAGGAACTTGCAGTAAAGCCATATATCTTTAAAAGTACTCTTTAAAAAAAGTCTTCTATAATTCAATTTAATTTCCCTGTTTTTCAAACGACTGTCTTTGAATTTAACACATTAGTTCAATTGAGTTTTACTCAGATTTACAAAAGTTGTATGTTTTTGAATTCTGGTTTTTTTTTTAAAGATTGGCACCTGAGCTAACAACTGCTGCCAATCTTCTTTTTTTTTTCCTGCTTTTTTCCCCAAATCCCCCCAATACATAGGTGTATATTTTAGTTGTGGGTTCTTCTAGTTGTGGCATGTGGGACGCCACCTCAGCGTGGCCTGACGAGTGGTGCCATGTCCACACCCAGGATCCGAACCAGCAAAACCCTGGGCCACAGAAGCAGAGCACGCGAACTTAACCACTCGGCCACAGGGCCAGCCCCATGAATTCTCTGCTTTTAGACTCAGTTTCTAAACACTAAAAGTAGGCTTCTATGCACTTGTACAAATTCCATATAGTAACTTGTTGATGGGTTGTACTATCTGTACATCAGTCTGTTTCAGTCTGGCCCCTGACGTATGTACACACACGGGTAAAGTTAAACCATGGGTAGCTATTTTTCCAACATGTGCAAAGTTACTAAGGAATACTTACAATCTCAATCGAGGTTCAACACATCTGACAAAATAATCGTACTCATCCTCCTCTTCTTCATCCCAACTCCTCCAAATGTTTTGGTAAAAAAACCTGAAAAGGAAAGCAGCATCATTCAAATTCAATCACTGGCTCAAAATGGTAGGGTGTTGGAGGAGTGACAGCTAACGAGTAAATCCAAACAATTCTACCAGCCACGGTGGAGAATGCTGCGGATTTGCTAGACGTGCTCGATAATCATGAGTCCTTCTTCAGATGGGAAACTTCTTTACAAGTTTCTCTACAACCCTGGTTCTGGTAGGACTGTCTTTTTATAAGAACTATTTATTGACCATCTGTAACCAGGTGGATGGTAGTGCCATTTGTTGAGACAGAAAAAACTAGGAGAGAAACAGGTCTGGGGTTGACAATAAAGAGTTCTGTTTTTGCCATGTTCCAGTTGAGATGCCTGTGTGACCTCCAAGTGGATGATGTCTGAGTGCAGAAGAACATATAGCCCAGAGCTCAAGGGAAGGGCCAGGGCAGGAGACACAAATCTGGGAGTTGCCAGCATGTCGATGGCATTAAAGCAAGAGATGAGATCATCTAGGGACATAATATAAAGCAGTAGTTCTCCACCCTGGCTGGACATTAGAGGCCCTGGGAAGCTGTTAAAATGGATTCCCAACCCTACCCCAGACAAATAAATCAGATTCTCTTGAGGCTGGCGGGGTGAGGGGGTGGCGCACAGCGGCCATGAGTGTGCAGGATCCATATTTTTTTTTAAAGTGCCCAAGTGATTTCACAAATTTTGTATTATAGAAAATTTCAAACATATACAAGAACAACTAGTATCATGAATATCATGGGCCCATCACTCAGCTTCAACAGTTATCAACTCACGGGCAATCTTATTTCCTCTCTACCCCATACCCCTTACTTCTCTGCTCCCCTCCCCTCACCATCCTGACATGGATTATTTTAAAGCAAATCTCAGACATCACATTTCATTCATAAATTTTTAGTATGTACCTCTAAACTAAATCTTTATACCAAAAAAAATGCTTTTAATTCCTTAATATCCAAATATCCAGTCAGTGTTCAGCTTTCCCTACTTGACTCTTTTGTTGCTGTTTTACACTTGGCTTGTTCAAATGAGGATCTAAACAATGGTCAGCCACTGCCTTTAATTAAATCACTTTCTTCTATAGATGATCCCTCCCGCTTTTTCTTCTTGCAATTTATGTAATAGTTTCCCACACTCTGAATTTTGTTGATTGCATCCCTATAGGGTCCTTTAACATGTTCTTCTGTTCCCTTTCTTTCTAGTAAACTGATAGTAAGATCTAGAGACTTGATCAGCTTTAGGAAAGCCTTTTTGGCAAGAATACTTCAAGGGAAGTATAATGTAATTCCATCAGGAAGCACATCATACCCGGTCACCTCTTTTGATGATGAGGTTAAGAACAATCAATGGATTAAATCAATGATCAATGGTGCTGTCAGCCTGATCCATCTACTACAAAGGTCCCCATTAGCTTTTTGCCAGTGGTTGTAGCCATTGATGATCATTGCCTTGAACCTTTATTTCATTACTGGTTGCAAAATACTGATTTTCTGATCCTATCATTCTTTCTTTATGTATTAGTTGGACTACTCCTATAAAGAAAATTCCAAGGTGATTCTATCATGCTTCCAATGCTGATTAGAAAGAGAAAAGAACAGACAGCCTAAAACTGATCCTTGGGTAACTCCAAACATTCTAAAGTTTGAGCATGAGAGGAAAAGCCAGCCAAAATGACTAAGAAAGCAAGCCAGTAACACACTATCAGAATGTTGGTGTCCCAGAAGCTGGAAGGAGAGTGTGTTAAGAAGATGGGAATGATTAGACAACTAGAATGTGACCAAGAGGTCAAGCAAGATGAGATCAGAGAAGTGACAACTGGATACAAGAACATGGAGGACTTTGGTGACCTTGAGCACAGTTTCAGGGGTGCTGCAGGGAAAGAAACATTACTGGAATGCCAGGAAATTCAGACTGTGACTATAAGTCTGTCAAGAAGTTCTGCTGCGAAAAGGAAGGAACAGTGAAAATGCAGCCATCTCTTAATTCTTGTAGGTTGGACTGCCGATCTCTTCACTTTCTAGAATCCATCTTTAACAAAACAAAACAAAACAAGAACCTGAGCATGCCTTTACTGGATAAAGAAACTCTGCTGGCTCCTTGTTGCCCTCAGAATAAAGTCCAAATTCCTGAGCCTGCTGATAGTCCATGGATTCAGTCTGGCCCTAGAGCCTCTCTTGCCTCAGAACCCCTGCATGCAAACTCCTAATTTCACAAGCTCTTTCAAACCTCCATGTGGCATGCTGGTGAGGCTGCCAGAAGTGCCTTTCACCTTCTCCACCCGGGAAGCTGATATTCACATTTCATGAGCCAGCCCTGCTATCATCCTCAGCAGTACCACGTGGGGCATTCACAGATCATTCACATCTGCACCTCCTCCTGTGTGTATTCTCTCAAGACACAAACTTGGGAGTCAACCTTGACTTCTCCATATCCACTCATATCTCCTCATCCCTGATACCCACTCCACCACCAAGCCCTAGCCCTCCCACTTTCTTAGTGAGCCTGACTCTGTCCTCTCCGTGTCCCTCCTCGAGTCCACTCGCTTGCCTCTTAACTGGTCTCCCTACTCCATCTCCCTCCACTTGTTTTCCACACGGCAGCCAGAAGGAACCTTTGAAAACACAAAGCGGATCATATTCACCCTTGAATGAAAACCCTTCGATGGTTTCCCACTGCTCTTACTGACAAAAACGATTAATTGGCTAGCAGCCCTGCATCTTCTGATCCCTGACAAGCTCTCCACACCAGTTCCCTGAGTCTCTCTCATTACCGCCTGTGTTCCAGCCATGCTGGCCTCTCAGCTCCTTGAGCGCACTGAGCTCCTGAACCATCTGTTCCCTCCCCGACCCCTGCCAGAAGCCCTTTGACCTGCCAAGCTTCAGACTCAAGTTCAAATGTCATCTGTTCAGGCAATAACCACGTAACAGCAACCTGATTCAGTCTTAGAACACTGTAATTCTTCAGAGCACTCACTGCGGTTTCCAATCACGTATATATCTTTGTGCAATTATTTCATCCAGGGTCGTCTCCCACCTGTAGCCTTACAGCTCCCTGGTGATGGTGACCATGTCTGTTCCATGCACCAGTCAAATTTAACCCTCAACTCAGAACCACCACTCAAGTATTTATTGAATAAATGAACAAATGAAAACCCTCACAATTTGACCTTTCCTGTGCACTGACCTCAAAATGAAGAATAAATTTAGCCAAGCTCTCCTTCAAATAACACCACTACTAATTCCAGATACTTGTCTTTCTGCAACTTCTATACACATAAGAGATTAGTTCTTTGATTCCTGATTCCCTAAACTCATCAATTATTCCTTTATCTTCAAATGCTTCAATTGACGGATTACTGTCAGTGAGAGAAACATAAGGGAGTTATTTCAGTCTGGACAGAAGTCAGTTCTTTAGATTTATATTGCTTGGCCTACTATTGAACATCTAGGGTTAAATGTTCTGACATACAATTAAAAATTTTCAATGAGATGTCTTGGAAGCAGGACCCAAGACACTATGCTTCTTTGTAGAGCATTCAAATTAAGCTCAGCAAAACTAGGTGAACTCACTAATGGTATAGAAACAGGAAAGTACTTTTTAAACTAGAAAACACCAAGGAATATTATTAACACGATCATTATATTATTCAGTCTTCCAGCTCCTGGAGGAACGTAAGTCCATTTTTAAACAGCCAAAAGTAAGCCTTTCTTAGTGAGCAGATTTATAAACAGAAGATCCAAAGGAACTATCTATATCAGCAACTATGACAGAAGATTTATCTGAAAAACTGAAAAAAGTACCTATAAATTCAGGTATGGGCTTTCTTTCTCACTGAAGGGACAAGGGGTGCACTTATGCAAGTGGAAATCAGTTATGTCAAAAAAGGATGAAAGGCAGGAGCACATCCCCTAAGGATCCTGGAAGGGGCCTGAGAAAACGCCTTCTTAGGCCAGACGCATCCTTGAAAACAACGTGTGCAGGCCTTATCAGCGCACAGGTCATGGTCCACCACCTCTTCACTCCTTCCCTTTCCTCTCATATGCAAGTACATCAGCCATAAGCCTTAGCATCCAGAACTTTTAAGATAGTTTCTAAATATATATAAACCAAATTAAGAATCCTCTATCCTTTGTTAACATTTGGGGACAATGAGTGAAAGCTATACAGGAACTCTTTGTAATATTTTTTTCAACTTTTCTGTAACTCTGAAATTATCTCAAAAGGAAAACTTCAACCATCTTCAAATTTTTTTTAATTTAGAAAAGACTCTCCTGTCTTTGAATATTTTAAAATACTGCAATGACCACGTTTACAGTTTGAATTTCAAATCTAGGTATAATACAGACCAGAATTACTGCATTTCGTCCAAAGTTTCTGGCCTCAGGTTATTTTTATCAACTCTCTTCCTACCTGACATGCTCAATTGCAAGTGCTGTCTGGTCAAATACTCCGGAATCATCAAAAACCACCCACAGCTCCTGCAGGGGCAGCCGATGCTCCTTCAGCTCGAGGAGCTCTTGCATACACTCCAAGGTAAAAGTGCTCACTGGAGAGTCACAGAGGTATGGGTCAGCGAGGCTCACCACCGCCTTCAAGGCCGCATAGTCCACATCTATGACCTGAAATTTAAAATAGTGCGACTTAACACACGGAAATCAAAATTAAGACACACAGAGGAAACACTACTTACAGCCTGATTTTTTTAAAGCATGAAATGGGAGGAGGGAGCCTTCTTCTTACCCACATGGAACTTAACGTTGTAATCGGGGAGACAAACAGGATTGTGATGAGTATGTGACAGAGAATAACTAGCAGAGGTAGTGGTCTGGTTTTGCTGGGATGGTCAGGGGAAGTCACTTCGGAGCTGCGATGAAAAAGGTGAAAAGGAAACAGCTGTCTGAAGAACAGGAAGGTGCGGGAGGCCCTAAGGCAGAGACAAGCTCAGCAGCTGGAGGGGCAGAAAGGCAGTGCTTCCTGCTGGAATCAAAGGAAGGAAATGGGAGTGGGGGCAGCAGGAGATGAGGTGAGAGAGGGGGGCAAGGAGACCAGGCTGTGAAGGGATGGAAGGAGCTTGGATTTTATGTGTTCTCCAGCACAACGAGAAGCCACAAAGCCAATGCCAGGCCTTTGGTAAATCCAATGTATTAGAGGTTTTAAGCAGAGGAAATGGCACATTTCTCTTTAAAACAACCTTGACTGCTTTTAGAGAACTGATGGGCTGGCGGACACAACAACAATGACATTATCATAACCAAACTAACAGGCCCGAACTGCAACCAGAGATATCTGCATAATCCAAAATTTAAACATCACAAGGAGCAGCTGCAACTCAGCCTCGTCCATCATCACTGCAGTATGGGATGGCGTTTTCTGAAGAAGCTGCAGGAGCAACTTGTATTCACACTCCCTAGTTTAACATTTTAGTTTAACAGGTTTTTTTGTGGTCCAGTTAACAAACACCGAGAAAAATTTCACAGCTGTAAGTAAAGTGCAAATTTAATGTAAAAGGCCCAGTCAGTTGAAAAATAAGATCGTTTTTACTTTCTGCAGTTGGACACATTATCAAGAGATTAACCACATATCTACAAATTTGTTAGGCAAAAATAGATTAATTTTAAAATGCCTATTTGGTTTGAGCTACAACTAGAAGGTTAAAAATTAATTGAAAGTCAGCTGACTTCATAATTAGGCCTCTTTATTTTTAAGATTTTTTTGTTTTTTCCTTTTTCTCCCCAAAGCCCCGTGGTACACAGTTGCACATTTCTAGTTGTGGATCCTTCTAGTTGTGGCATGTGGGACGCCCCCTCGGCATGGCTTGATGAGCCGGTGCCATGTGTGCGCCCAGGATCCGAACTGGCAAAACCCTAGGCCACTTGCAGCAGAGCGTGTGAACTTAACCACCTGGACACGGGGCGGCCCTAGGCCTCTTTACTTTTTAAATGGCATCAAATACCTCCTCCATGTCATAGGTTTATAATCCATTTCCCCTTGTCAAAGGACACTGAAACTTAAACCACCTCAATTCTCTGGTAGCTCCTCAGCTGCCTTTAAAATTTGCAGCACATGTCATACACCATGGCAGTTAGATGTGAAAAACATGCTGTTTTCAATTAGCTTATAAACTTTCATTAAAAATAAGCACTTTGGCTACAAAAGTCTGAAGGAATGTCCTTTTAGCTAAAGACAAATGTCTTAACAACAGAATTAAATTTACCTCAACCAGAACCTCGAACACATTAGTGTGCCAGACTGCCCGCCATCCAGACGACTCAAGGACCTTCTCCAAGAACTCAGCTGTGAACTCTCTGACCTCAGAGGCCTTGCAGTCAGCTACAAAAAATCAGACACAGTAAGAATGGAGAGTGCATAAAGCAGAGAGAAGTTAATAAACCCACTTAAATCCACTTTCTCAGAACCAAGAGCTGGCAGTCTAAAGGACTGAGTTAGACAATCTACTTGTAAACTAAAGATAAAAGAAGCAAAAAAGAGAACTGACTCACCTAGAATGTAATCTTGGTAGGCTCTGAATCGCTCATAGAACAAAAGATGACTTGTTTGGAACACTTCTGGGAAGTGAGTTGTTCCTTCTGGCACAAAACTTTGTAACCGGGTACCTGGCTTATCCTGATTGCTACAATCACTGCATGAATCTTCATCTTGGAAGAAAGCTAAGAAAACAACAAAAATAAGCCGGCTCAACTATCCCAGACACCTGCAGTGCTTACAGACCGCTCCTATGTTCACGTCCTCGCTTAGAAACTCCAAGCAAAACATAAACAAGGATTTGGGCATGATGCTTCCCTTACCTCTATTGTTGTCAGAACAAACCAGGTTTCCAAACTGAAAAATCTCTCAGAATCCAAGCTCTACTTCAAAATAAGAACTTACAGTCTTTCACAGGTCAGGTTTTTGGTGTTGTCTGTGAAGTTTTTCAGGGAGGCAGAGCAAGAGGGTTGTTTTCTATTTCAGTGGAAATCACCCACGTTCTCCTTCACAGGATCAGCTATGATTCTAACTACAGCTAGCAACTTACAATAGTCAAATAGCTCAGTCTTTTTTCCCCAAAACAATTGCACAAAGCTGCATTAAAGTAAGGAGCTCTTCCCTATACTCCCTCTCAAACGAGTTGAAGCCTCCCTCTATTTCTACATGTCCGTCAACGGCCCCTCAATAAACAGGGATGAGAGAGTCTCAACAACGCCTAAGGTTTACCTCACTAAAGCTTCTAGGCTCCTCCTCACTAATTTCAGTGACTGTACCTAAGGAAAAGATTAGAAAATGCTAATCACATTTGGTTTGGGCTGTATGTAATTATGTTTCATAAGGCTTCAAAATCATAAGATGTGATTCAGCCAGTGGCATGTCTAATTTTGTGTAATATGATGTTTTTAATCGACAAAACTATTAAATAAACAGTGGTGAGGGTAGCACTCAGACTGGCAAAGTAGTTTCCATAGGTGGTTTCAGGGAGGGCATCTGACACTATAATAGCAGCAATCTTTCTCTCCCCCCACCTCTTACAGTTTCTCCTTCCTTCAACTTCTTTGCCCCTGTTCAGCCACCAGAATTACTTGACCCAACAGATGACCAAAGGGTACTCATGGGGCTACGACTCACAAACACCAACGCACATGAGCCCCAGAGCACAGCAACACCTTACTGGCTTTGTGACAATCTCTCTATGCCTCAGTTTCCTCACCCATAAAGGGAAGGTAAAATAGTATGCCTACTTCAAATAAATTAAGAGAATTAAATAATTTGTTAATCACTTACAACAGTACCCATCACACAGTATACATAAATGTTTGTTAAAGAAGTAATAACTTCACCTCACACCCATTAGGATGGCTATTATCAAAAAAACAAGAAAAACTATCAAGAAAACAAGTGTTGGCAAGGATGCAGAGAAACCGGAACCCTTGTGCACTGCTGACAGGCAAGCAAGATGGTACAACTGCTGTGGAAAACAATATGGTGGTTCCTCAAAAACTTAAAAATAAAATTACCATATGACCCAGCAATTCCACTTCTGGGTACATACTCCAAAGAACTGAAAGCTGGGTCTCCAAGAGATACTTGTACACCCATGTTCATTGCAGCATTGTTCACAACAGCTAAAACATGAAGCAACACAAGTGTCCATCGATGGATGAATGGATAAGCAACATGTGGTATATCCGTACAACAGAATATCATTCAACCTTAAAAAGGAAGGAAATTCCGCAACATGCTACAACATGATGAACCTCGAAGATATGCTAAGATAAATAAGCCAGTCACAGAAAGACAAATACCGTATGATTTCACTCATACGAGGTACTTAGAGTAGTCAGAATCATAAAGACAGGAAGTATGACGGTGGTTGCCAGGGCCTGGGGGAGGCGGAAGGCGAGCTGTCCTGCACCGGGTGTAGAGCTTCAGTCTACAAGATGAAAAGAGTTACGGGATTGAATTGTGATGATGGCTACACAACAACGTAAATGTATTTCATACCACTGAACTGCACACTTAAAAATGATTAAGAGGGTAAATTTTATGTTATGTGTATTTTAACACAATAAAAAAAGAAGAAAAGAAAGAATACCTTACTTCAGCACCATTCTTTACAGCCACTTTGAAAGTATCCCTTTTTCACACATTATTTCACTTCATCTTCAGCACTCCGTAGGACCATTGGCTCTGTTTTCCAGATAGGAAAACTGAAGCCAAGTGACTTCTGCCAGGTCACAAGAGGGGTTGGTAGTGTAATTAAGTCACAATCATGTTTTCTCTCTGTCAAGACTCTTTCCGCTACACAACGCAACTGGAAATGTTAAACTAAAAACCTGAACCAGCTTAAAATATCAAGAAAAATAAATAAATAGTGGGATCTCCGTAAATAGGCAGAAAGGACTGAGAACTAGACCTGGGTTCTATTTTTAGCCTTTGTCCAAAGTTGGCTCCCCCAGCTTCGAGCCTGTCACCCCTCCCTGCTCAGCGCAGTTATCTATAGGCCAAGGGTTCCGGTTTCTTCTCTTTCGAGAAAGCGGAGTGTGGTTCAGGATCTCCTTCGAGACGCGGAGGAAAAAGACGAGCCCCTCTCCACCAATCACGGCGCCCAAGCCTCCGGGAGCGCCCCGACAGCGGGCTGGGAGCTCCTGGCCCGGTCCCAGCCCCTCGGGCTCCAGGAAGCGGAGGCCAGACCGGGCGGGGAGAGGCGGGAGTTGCCCGGTGCCTCCCGACGCTGACGTCACGAGAGCGGCTGGGGCCTCGCACGGCCACCGCGTCCCCCGGCCGGCGGGTCCGAAGGCCTCAGACAGGCGCCCGCGGAGGCACCCGGCGCCGCAGGCCGCGCGGACACCGGCCGCCGCAGGAGGAGCTCCGCGGCCGGCAGGGCGGGTGCTCACCTTTCTCGAGGGGCGCCGGCTCCTCCTCGGCCGCCCGGCCTCTGCGCTCCGGCCCCGGTGCCATCGCCTCCGACCGCAGCCAGCCATCCGCCAGCTCCCCGCCAGCCATTTCAAATTTCCGCGGGCGGTGCCTCGCCCCGCGACGTGATGACGCGGGCGCTTCTGATTGGACACTGCGCAGAGGTTCTCGGACCAATGAGAGGAAGGCTTGAGCTGCCCGTCTCCACACGACCCCGCCCCCTGCAGCCTCTGCCAACCCGGGGCCGGGCCTGGCGTCGCCTGCCAGCTGGCGGTCCGCTGCTCTCCTCCCCGCTCTTGGTCTTGGGTTTGCTGGAGGCCGGTGGACACAGTTGAACTGGGCCATAATTTTAGATGATTTCCAAAAAACGAACAAGCCACGCCTGGAAATGGCGTTGTTAACCTAAAAATGGCCAAAGTGAAAGGCAGTGGAGTATTTATTTGGGGGTCAAAGAATTGCAATTCCAGGAGCACAGATTCAGGTAGAAACCCAAATATTGTCCTGATTACAGGAGAGGGGTTTAGGGTTTTTATGGGGAAAAGGGAGGATAGGGTGAGCTGTATTAAAGAAGAGTTCATTGGTGCTGGGTAAGGTCAGGCTAGGTTTATAGTTCATAGATTGGCCTGGGTTCCATCTTCAGACAAAAGGCCAGACTTGTACTTCATTGACTGGCTAGTGATGGGCCCCCGGCAAAGTCAAGTTTCATCAGCCCTTACAAACAAGATACCCTTGCCCTTACTGACTTCTTTGGAATGTTGGTGGTTTGGTCCAGTTTGGAAGACAAAGAAAACAAGATGTACAAGGTAATTCCTCTGAAATGGCTGCTCTGGCTGTATTTTAACCTATGTCAATGTTTATTCATTACTTGCTCGGATTATATCAGAAGTTCCTAGGGGCCAGCCCTGTGGCTGAGTGGTTAAGTTTGTGCGCTCCACTTCAGGGGCCCAGAATTTCGCCGGTTCAGATCCTGGGTGCAGACATGGCACCGCTCATCAGGCCATGCTGAGGCGGCATCCCACCTAGTAGAGGTAGAAGGACCCGCAACTAGAATATACAACTATATTCTGTATTCAACTATATTATACATTCTGAGGGGCTTTGGGGAAAAGAAGAAAAAAAACTTGATAAAAATAATCCATAACCAATCTATAAATGAAAATTTGGGTGAGTTTATTCTGAGCCAAAATGTGAGGACCATGGCCCAGGGCCTTCTTTACCAAAGGAAGGAAGGGCACCAAAGAAATGAGGTGTACAGAGTGGTGATATACCCCCAAAGAGGATGTTTCACATATGATTGAGATGTCCCTTTTACGACAGTCACGAGACTGCTCTGTTGGCACAGTGATTGATGGACACAGCAGGTGGCGGGTCTGTTGTCTCGAGCTGGGTGGTCACAGGTGAGCACAGCAATCAGTTCCTAGCCTAGCGAAAGATACTTATCCTTAAGGAATTGCCAATGTGGGGGAAGTTGCACCTTTATCTTAAGACCATTTGTTCTTGTCTTTGGGACACAGCAAATACTTCAGCAGATATACAACACATGCTCAACGGCCATGTCAAGCCCTTTTGGAAAAACAAGGTCAGGCCAAATTAGGTTTACACCAGATGGCTTCCTCATATACTCCAATATATCCTATTGCTGGCTATTTCTATTTGTCAAAACAATTGGCAACAGATGTTAGCTCAGGGGCAATCTTTAAAAAAAAAAAGTTATGAAAAAAAAAAGTTCCTAGAGTTCCCCTGAGTGGGGTCCCTCAGGAGCACCTTTCTTGGTTTCCTGCTGCCCGCCATCCTAAGGAAAGAGGTTTTTCCTTCTTCCTTTCCAATCCCTCCATTCGTGGCCCATCACAACCTTCTACCTGCCCTAAGGTGGGATGGCACCCATTAGTCCCAGTCTTTTTTATATCTTCACTCTCTCTCTCGCTACTAGGTTCTTATACTGTTTCTATATACGGGCTCAAATCTAACTGTCCTCCCCAAAACCTCCCAAAGCCCATTTGCAATCTTGAGATGCTGCCCTCACGCACCTTCTCTCCGGCTCACTTGGAGCTCCCTCCAGAGGCTGGCCTCCCTGTCCCGCCGTCTGCTGCCCTCCGCCCTCCACCCTACTGCAGCACTGACCCAGCACCCACCTCAGACGCTCCTCCCTAGCCTCTGGGCCCTCACTCTGCTGGTCCTCCTTCCTGCCCTCATTCCTCTTCCTCCCCCTCAGATTCCCTAAACCTAGGGGGTTCCCAAGGGCATATCCTGAGTCCACCTTCCTCAGGAGGTAACATAGTGAGTGAAGAAGGCCGAGTGCAGACCGTGGCAATCACTGTGAGCACGCAGGAAAGCAGATTTGCTCGCTCATGTGACCAAAATTAAACATGTAGAGTATAGGCTGTGTGCCAGACACTGTTCCAGGTTCTAGGGAAACGGGCAAACAAGACAGACCAGGTCTCTGCCTGTGTGGAGTTCACAGCCTAGTAGGATGCACAATGAACAAGCAAAAAGTCAATTAACAAGCAAGATTCAATTGTGAAAAATACTAAAAACGAAATAAAATTCAGTCTTGTGACAGAGAACGATAAGTGGGGAGGTTCAGATTTTTATGCAAAAATGCTTGATTTTACACTATTAGATACTATTTTTTTAAAGAACTTAAACTCTATGCAACTGAGAAAAACCTTATTTTCCAGGCCAAATTTGGCCTACTGCCCACTGGACTACAACCTGTGTTCTAAGTCCCAACTACCCAAAGTATAGTCCAGGGACCAGGAACTTGTGAGAAATGCAGAGTCTTTCCCCTACTCCAGATCTGCTGGATGATCAGAATCTGCATTTCAACAAGATCCCCAGTCCCCAAGCGACATCATTCACATTTGATATAAAGGCCTTCAGACCCGACTTCTCTCCTAAAGCTAGATCAGTTTTCATCTTTCAGGAAACTTGACCTAAAATTCTTGCCCATAATTCACGTTCATTATGCTGTAAAGCCAAACTCAAGGGCTGCCCATCCTTCAGCTTCTCTTACTCTCATCTCATTCCATCCTCCCTGCCACAGCCGCATTATCTCCCATTCAGGCTGTTGAGATGGCATTTGGGAATTGATCCCATCAACCCTCTCATGCTTCCAGAATAAATTGCTCCCCTCTTGCTGCTCCTAGTACAGGGGTCTCAAATGTAATGCCAAGAATGGCCAGACAGATGACATAAAGAGAGAAGTGGGCACTGGTCATGACTCCTCTGGAAAATGGTGGGTATGAACCCAGTGGTGCTATGTTGGTTTTCCAAGAGAATCCAGAAATCCAGATTTTTATAGGAAATCTCCCACATTAAAATGTTGGCAACTTGTCTCTAAAAATGTAAACACTGTGCCAGCCAAATAAAATATATCTATAGACCACCAGTTTGCAACTTCTGAGACCTAGTCTACTCATGACATTGAGTCAGATGCTGTGGGTTCTTTGAAGGCAAGTATGTCATCATCTTTGTCTTTGTATTGCTGGCACCTACTACTAAACTTCACTTAGTAAAGGGACAAACTAAATTAATACTGGTTCTTTTACATTTAAGGTGATACTATGATGTCATTAGCCAAAGGCTCAGGTTTAGAGTCAAGTGTTCAGGGGCCTTGGCCATTTCTGTTGCTGCTACCCAGAGGCCTCCTAGAACCACAGATTCATCACTGGTACCATTACGTAAATCAGTGTCAGTGAAAGCTCTTGTATATGGGGCCTTCTGCCCCCAAACCAACTCACAAGCTCCCCCCAAGGAAAGAAACACCCTCTAAGGTGGTGATTCATTGTGTAGCCAAGGGCTTTGGTCCCCTGGGAGACAGGGGTCTACTATTGTCCAGCTACCCAACTACAGAAGGTCACTGCATGTGCATATGAGTGAGCTTCTGAGAGCAGGCGTGGACCAGGACAGACAGTACAAATTCTGAACATCAGAGAAGGGTAAGGAGGGCCCGAGATGCTGGGAGAGGGCCCACCTGAGAGACTTGTCCCTGTATGAGCTCCACGTGGTCCCAGGGTGGGCAGTAGCCCATGGTGGCCACTCTGCTGCAGGAAGAGAGAGATGCTAGGTCTCTGCTATGTCAATGGGCCTCCCATTGACAAAAATAAAAACAAGGAAAGCCAGATCTGAGTCTTGGCTGTATTCTCCACTAAAGGGCAGCTTAAACTTTCAGAAGAAAATAAATCTTTAGCGCTTGATAAAGCATTAAGGAGCCCTTCCAGTAAGTTTCCTCTTGGGCCTCCAGCCCCTGTGTGAGGCTCTGGGGATGAGAAGGGAACAGATAAACTGAGCTCTTGCCTCTTGAAGCTCACAGTCCAGTGGGAGGAGAGACATATTAAATACAAGAACATGCAATGAATGTAGAGTCAGAACCTGGAACAATTGCCATCAAGGAGAGAGAATCCCAGGCAGAGGGCTGTTTGCATTGGAGGCCATGGGAAGACCTCTCTGAGAAGAGGATGCTGCACTAAAATCTTGAGGATAAGACAGAAGCAACCATTGGTGGGAGGTGGCAGGGGATTCAGGAAGAAGGGAGAAATCTAAGAAGGAGAGGGGGTGATCAAGGAAGAGGGGAGCTCCAGCTCTAGAGGCCCTGAGGCAGGAAAGATTTTGATGTGTTCCAGAAGAAGAAAGAGTCCTTGAGGCTTCAGAGCACAGAGTATGAGGGAGGAGGAGGTTGGAGATAAAGCTGCTGGGGTAACAAGACCTTGAAGGCCGTCCTTCGTTAAAAGTTCAAATTTTATTCAACACGTAATGAGATACCATTGATGAGCTTCAAGGAAGAAGAGGCGACTTGACTGATGCTCTTGCCAGAGCTTTCTGCCTGCCATATGGAGCATGCATTGCCGAGGGACTGTCCATTTGGCTACATTTGCCTCTAGCCTGCATAGATTATGTAAAACTAACAGGAACACCCCACATTTGACTAGTGCTCTCCAGTTTACAAAAGTCATTTCATTTGATCTCCAGCCCTTGCCTCATGTCTTTCTCCTTTGCCAGCTTTGCTATGAGATGTTTTCCTAGAGGAAATATGTCCAGTGAATTCTCATGTCACCTAAATTTAGAGGGATCTGTAAATGGGGAGTCTGGACTCTAACCAAGTCTGCTGAACTTCTAGTTCAGGGCTCTTTTAGTT